GTGTGTGTGTGTGTGTGTGTGTATGTGCGCGCGCGCGCGCGCGCGTTTTTATAAAAATTAATACTTTCATTTCTAATTATGTAAATATATATCTTTATATTAAACGGAAAATTGCAATAACAATATATATTTCATAATTTTTCTATCAAAATATACAAATTTTTGTAACATTATGTAACGTATGTAATGCGATAATATCACACTTATATTTGCATTCACGGTAATATTAATTTTACATTTGTACATATAACTTATGCAAATGCATAATTACTGAATTATTACATAAATATTTTTACGAATTAAATTTCGATTGTAAATTTGTTTTTGCAAATTATATAATTATTTTAAAGAAGAATAATTTTATTTGTAAATTGTTATTTACATGTGTAAATGTACATTTTTAACAATAAGCCCCAAAATTATTTACTAATAATTATTGTAATTTTACCTGAATTTTTTTATAATGTGATAAAATGAACATGATAAATTAAACGTCGGTAACTGATTATCAATTAGGGAGTTGTTACTTTTTTAATAGATACATCAATCAATCATCTCATCAAATCTAATTGATAATTTTCAGAAAAAACTTTGACGTAGCTAAATCGGCAAACTCGTTAATTTTACAACGTTTATGAATATTTTACTCCAACGTCGTACAATTGCGCCATATATATATATATATATACTGCAACAAATTTAATCAAATATTTCTCTTAATTCGCATAAAATCCTACATACGGAATAATTCTGGATTCAGGAAAATAAAAGGTTTCTATCAGCGTGAAATCGTGTGTGTGTGCGTACACGCGCGTGCGTGCGAACATGTTTGAGCTTTAGCGTATTATTGTAAAGAGTTCCATTATCACGGTGGAGCAAATTTGAAAATGAAATAGCGTAGCCGCCGGCTGGAACTTTGGTCAACGCTAACGAAACAATTCCGGCTTTCCGGCCGCACGGGAAAAACGTATTATCATGACAGAGTTAGTTTCTCGCAGTGGTCGCGCACTAAATTAACAAATCACCGCTTTTTGTACCCAGGATCCAGTTGGTACTTCAAATACCACATGTATTTAACGCTAAAAAAAAATACACGGTTTTCTCCTCCGAATCAAATTTTCAAGAGTTTACATATTTTGCATTTAGAGCTGCATTCTCGATGGTGTTTTGCGCGCCTTGCACTTCCAACGTGTTTCACAGAATATCTCGTAATTTTCATTTTTTGGTTTTTACGGGTTTATTTTATGCCTTGAAAGTTTGCTATTATGAGAGAAAGGCTCTGGCCACTTTTACAGAGTCGTTATTTACGTAATGCAAATCATGCAAAATTGCACGATACGCATTAGGAAGTGGCATAAGAAAAGTAATCAAATTTTGCGTTTCCATCTCTTAAAATGTATTATTAATTACATTATTATTATATAAAAATCGTTATTATACTGAAAAAATACGGTTTTGTGTGTGTGTTGAAATATAAAAATTTAACTAGATATAGATAAAAAAATTGTATTTAAACTATCGAAATAATTATAGACCGAATCGATATAACGCTTGAATTGTTTGTTGAATATCACAGAATGTTAAAATTTTGCATCATTATCAGCAATACTTAAGGATATATTAGGTATATAATTTTTGCAGAAATTACTGGAATTGGAAATTTAAATTTTCCGTATAAAAATGAATGTTATATACATAAAATAGTTCAATAAGATCAATATTACTGTTAAGTACATTATATGTATAATTTTATAGTTTCAATGAAAATGTTATTTTATATTAAATAAGTTTCTTAAAAATCATATCCACTTCTTATTAAAATAATTTTTTTTATTCTAAATTACTGTCAAATTTTTTGTATTATTTTCATACACAAATACAATATATATA